CTGGGGTGAGGGTAGGAAATAGCAGCCAGAGGACAGAGGGGGAGCCCAGAGGCTCTAGCTGCTCATGCAGCCCAAGTGACAGCGAGGAACAGCAAAGGGTGAAAGCTGAGAGCTACAACTCAATCCCTCACAGGCAGCAGGTGGACCACAGGCTGTCAACTGGTCAGACTCAATGTGTAAAAAGTGCTAAATGAAACTTCCACTGATATAATTATATGGATATCAGAACAAAAAATGACCAAATGAAATGTAGGATAGACCTAGACCAGCAGGGGGAAGAGGACCTTTTTGGCAGACATGCCATAAGGTAAGCCCCACACCCTCCCCAACTATCACCCTGATCCCCTTCACTTGCCAGATCTGCTGCTCTACGTTCTGCTCCCCATCTGGTCCCTGATCTGCCACATGCGCCTGTGCCACTTCTGACACGCATGCTGTAGGTTCACCACCTTGCCCCGACTTACTCCTAGGCAGAAATTACCAGACAGAAAGAAAATGGAAAAAACCCAATACAAAATGGAGATGTGTTTTTCAACCATGCTTTAAAATAATTATACAAGAGTGCCTGTGATCAGGAAAGTGCTTACCCTTGAGCTGAAAGAAGAGGACACCTGCTGTGTTTATTTTGAAAAAGGTTATTTCAAAAAGCAAACAACTGGAAGATAGGTAAGAGTCTGGGACCTAACCAGAGCGCCAAAACACTGCCACGAAACCTTTACAATGCAAGCTTGCCAGTCTAGGTTTCCTGTAACAGCATGAGAAAATGTTACGTGAATTCAAGTTTCCTTTTCTGGTGAACTTAGTCAGCAAGTCACATCAGCCAGGACACACACAATTTTAACCAGCAAATATAATTGTGCACATTTACTCTTCATTATCCCACCTCCCAACCAACCTCCATTTAAATCAAAGCTTAAACTTCCAGTTTAAAAGGGTTGGACAAGATGCATGTTTATCAAGATGAAGCAACAAACAAAGCAAAACTGGGGGCACACACCCACGTTACTGTGCTTACCTCCTTGCAGGAAATGACTTCAGTTGTCAAAGGAAAGTCTTGGGGCGCTATCGCAATGGCATAATTAATACCATGTAATCCACCCCTGCCAGACTCCAGGAACTACAGAAACACAGCCTGGAGCTAGTAATAGAACACCTTAACTATGAATCTCTCTTAACCTGTAAATGAGTATGACTGGCTTGGGCCATAGCTGCAAATGTATGGAAATGTAAGGATGGAGAATGAAGAAATCTTGCCTCCAGTGACAGTAAGTATACAAATATTTTTGTATGCTCTGACTCTTAAGAAAGCACAGCTAGGCAATGGCCTAGCATTCATACGTGAGTGGGCCTTTTCTGGTCAATATAAAAATGGAAGTAGGGGCAGAGGAAGAAGCGTCCTCATTTGATGACAACTGAAGTAGTCATTATTTAAATTGTTTGTAATTGGTTCTCTCTTCTAAGCAAGGAGCTAACTTTTTTTTGACGTTCTATCTCCTTTTTGAACCTCAGGAAGAGCATACATCAACTGCAGATGCTTCCTCAGCCTGACAAAGGGCATTTATACCCAAAAGCTTGCAAAGATGAATTTTTCCAACTATCTGAGTTGGTCTAAGAAAAAGATATCAGATTTACCCAAAGAACCTCCACAGATGCATCTCGAGCAGGTGCAAGGAAGTGATACTCCCCCTCTATGCAGCACTGGTCAG